GAGTCACATTGCCCTAAATTTTGTAACAGATGCCTCAAATGTTAACAGAATAAATTCAAATGTAAACTAGGTTCAATTAAGAGAGTTGCACTGAAAAAACTTTTCCCTACATAAAAGAGCTGGAGTATCACCATCATTAAGACAAAAGAGTCATAAATGTGACTTCAAGCGGGAGTCACACAGGCCACCTTTCTGCTTTCAATACCAGGATACAGACTTGCTTTGATTAGAGACTATAGATACTTACGGAAGGGGGTTTGCCTGCCAGGACATAAATCATCCCAAGGTAGGAAGAGAGGTCAATTTAGAACCCAAACTTTCATTCTATACATATACAAGATGCAGCCAAACTACTTAAGTAATAAACACCCCCAAATCTCTGGATGGTTTTGTAACTCCCCCCACCCCCATCTTTCTGGGGTAATTCCAAAGTGAAACATTTTTTTAATAGCCCAATTTCTATAGAAGCTCTTGGTGAAGCTCTGTTTGTCTTGGGAGAAAACCACTATCTGTTAGACACTATCATCCTTTTCAGTTTCCCCAAGGAGGTGGAGAAGGTAATGATAACCAGAAAGCCTTATAGGTCACAGACCTTCCTGGGTCCAGCAGATCTTTCTGCCTCCTGGCTGGGTTCATGCAAAAGCAGCAGGGTCGAGCCGCCATGCAATCACTAGCTGCCATGACTTCCCTGCAACCAGTACCCTCCCAAACAACAAGCCAAAGTGAATCCTCCCTCCATTAAGTTTGTTTCTATAACCTAGAAAGTAATGAATAGGTTGACAAGTTAAAATTTAGTTTGGGCTCTTAAAAGTGACAAAACTCTAGACTTTATTGCTCCAAAATGAGCTTTTTTATTAAATTTTTAGGCAACATAAAACAAAACTGAACTCTGAGGTGTTTTGGATTTTTCAAAGATTTATTTATTTTTATGTTTATGTGTGTGAGTGTTTGCCTGCATGGTATGTATATGTACCACATGCATGCCTGGTACCCACAGAGGCCACAAGCACATCACACCTCTTGGAGATGGAGGTACAGATGGTTGCTAACTGCCATGTGAGTGCTGGGAACCGAACCTGGGTCCTCTGGAAAAGCAGCCAGTGCTTTTACCACTGAGCCATCTCTCCCAACCTCAGGGTAGATTTTGCCCATATTCAGGGGTCCATTCTTGTCACTGTTACTTCAGAGATGTCACACTGCCCTTCTATCATTCTGTCAGCTCTGTCCTCTCACTTTCTCCCAGAGAGCCCATCAGATTCTTCTGTTACTTATTTTGCAAGTCTAAACGTATCAAAAATACTTAAAGTTATTCTGTGTTAATAATAAACTTCAAAAGGCAGGAACACACACATATACATGATACTTTTGCCAGTCTAAACATATCAAAAACACTTCACAGATCCCAAACTGACAGCTGGGGAACCAGCATAAGACGGAACCAGGCTTCCTGAATGTGGTTGTCAGTTGGGGGCCTTGGGCAGTCTATGGGACCTCTGCCAGTGGAACCAGTATTTATCCCTAGTGCACAAATGGACTTTGGGAGCCCATTCCCTATGGAGGGATACTCTCTCAGTCTAGATACGAGGGGGAGGGCCTAGGTCCTGCCCCAAATGATATGACAGACTTTGATGATCTCCCATGGGAAGATGCATCCTCCCTGAGGAGTGGATGGGGGGTTGGTGGAGGAAGTGGAAGGACAGGAGGGAGAGGGAACTAGAATTGGCATGTAAAATAAGATTATGTCTAATTTAAATAAAAATTAATTAAAAATACTTAAAGTTATTCTGTGTTAATAATAAACTTCATAAGGCACGAATAGGTACACATGTGCACACAAAAGATACAAATAAAAGGTCATGTAGTGCATAGATGTGCCTTATGATCTTGCATGTTTATGAATAATCAATCATACAGTGAAATGATTGTTGATCAACTAAGTCATAGACTCTTAGAGCTAAATCACCCATCTTTTACAGTAACAGTATACACAGACACACACAATCACGGACAACCATGTAAAACCCCATCCTGTAGAAGGCCTAGTTCTGCCTTTACTACATTTTTGCAACTATAGTTCTGAAACAGAATCACTAAAGCCTTATTGTTGTAAGTTCCACAGACACAGCATCACATTTGACTAGGTGAGTGTGGCTATGCCCGGTCATTCCTCAGTGCAAGCCATGAAAATATCATTTCTGCACTGATTACATTACATTCAAGCCCTCTGCTTTGGGGCAGCCAGGTTGAGTGAGCCATTTCGTTATGGATAAATCAAGTTAGGGGGAGTAGCACTGGCAGCATTTGAAGCAGGACATCAGTCACTATATAGCAGTGGGCCCATTCCCTGTCCTAATCTCCCCTGTCTGTCTATACCAAAAGCAGCTCATCAGTCTTGGGCTTTCAGCTCCTCCCTCTTCCCTTTCCTGCTCAAAACATCATATTCTCAACACAGCTCCAGGGAGCTGCTATCAATAACTAGAACTTATTATCATGGATTTATGGGGAAATAAAACATAAATATGTATAAATTGTTTATATGCACAGCCTGCCTCCTTCAATCCAGCCATTTATCACTGAGGCACACAAGGGCGTCCTCTCAACTTTCAAAGTGCACAGGTGTGAATTATCATAGCTAAAGGCTCTTCCCAGCCTTGATCCTTTCTCTTGCAATTGTCAGTTAATTACAGATGATTGTGCTGGGAGATGGCCAGTTCAATGGAAGCACACCCAAAAAGGGTCAAGAGTGGCCTTATTCCTAAGAGGAACACTGTGGACTCTGCAAGGATCCAAGGCATCAGTGGACACTAAGAACAAAGCTAGAAATAGAAAATTGGTTTTAGCCAGCAGAGTCTAATGCAAAATTCATTTGAGAACTGGTTCAAAAGCATGTTAAGTCCACACGCAAATCTATTGACTTTGCCATTTGAGGACACAAGTGCTTTTCGGTTGAACTTCTGATGGAGGATGTCCTTCTGTATATATGTTTCTCTTATTTGCTGATGAATAAAACACTGATTGGTCAGTAGCTAGGCAGATACGTAGGCAGCAGGGCTATGAGACCAGAAGGCTGGGGAGACGATGGCATAGACACCATGTAGCCACCAAAGGAATAACAGGTCCCGGAATTCTTGGTAAGCCAAGACCAAATAAAAATACATAGATTAATAGAAATTGATTAATAATTAAGAGAGAGCTAGCTAGTTAGAAGTCCTAGCCATCAGCCAAAATGCTTAATAATTAATATAGCATCTGTGTGTTTATTTGGGGCTAAATGGCTGCTGGACCAAGTGGGACAGAAACCTCCACCTTCAAACTTCTACCTGTTTTGGTAATAGGAAGAGGGGGTGGGGATTGTTAGGCCACAAATCCCTGGACTGTCTGGTGGAACTCGTTCCTTTCTAGTTGAAACTGGTTTTCAGCAGCTTCCAAAGCCACTTTCTGAAGAGAAACTGATTCAAACATATGTATTATGACTTATAAGTATTTTCAGATACTAAGCCAAAGACAGGAGAAGCACCAATTCATGTCAGCTTGCTCACTTTAGTGGGGGAAGGTCACACAATCCATGGTGCTCTAGCCTATCAAGAAATATTTATAGGTTCTTATCGTGTGTCCAGCACCGTGGGAAAGGAGAGGCAGACATAGCTCCTACCCTCCCCTAGCTTAGCTGCAGCAATGGAAGTTGTCAGAGCTTTCCTCTTGTCATGTTATAAAACAGTTCCAACTGACAGCACTGAACTTTTGCAGAGAAAAAAATAAGGTAGGCACACTACACTGTGTAGATGGGACAGCTGGGGCAGAACAGGAAAAGCATTTCCTAGATCCCAGATGGAGCGGTGAGCCAGACTCAAACTCCAGACTCACTCTTGAGGAACTCCATACTCTCCCCTTGTTTTGCAGAGGCGCTATCTTCAGCTTTACTCCAGACTACAAGGGTATTTCATATATACAGGTAATGGCGCTCAGGGTGTAGGCTCAGTGACAGTGTGCATGCTTAGAGTAAGTGAAACCACAGAATCAACCCTTAGATTAAACTGATTAAAAAAAAAAAAAAAAAGACACTACATTTGATCTTATACAAAAGGCCAAGTGGCTCATTTGTAGACAGACCTCCATCTAACTGAAAAAAGAACCTACAAGCAGTGATTTTTATCCTGGAATCTGGATTATGACTTCAGTGTGTTCACCCTAAAAGAGGTCTTACGGTATTTTCTAACATACATCAAATTCACAGTCTTCATGGCCTAGTCTCCCCGGAGCTGGGACTGCTTCCACACCAGAACTTTTATTTTCAAGAAAACAAAACCACCAATGTAGAAAATTTGAACTGAATTAAGCCAGGTATGGAGATATACGCATTTACTCCAAGCATTTGGAGGCAGAACCAGAGGCTGGCAGATCTCTATGAGTTAAGAGGCAAACTTGGTATATACAGTGAGTAGGTTCTTGGATAGTCAGGGCTATAGAGTGAAACTCCATGTCAACAAAACAAAGCAAAACAAAAATCCAAAGAAAAATAGCCTCAGATAAAAATAGTGGTATTTCACTATTGTCATAACATATTAAGAATAGTGGGGGGAAAAAAAGCCATCTAATGAACCCATCCATTTGAGAAGTGATATATACATACAATGGACTTTCTATTCCGCCTCCAAAAGGAAGTTAAACCGTGTGAAACAAAGACTAACACAAAAAGAACAACTATTGTACCATCTTTCTTAACAAATGAAATTCATAGAAACAGGATGTAGACTCATGATTGCCCCCAGCTGACAGCAGATAGAAGAGGCTAGGTTTTTTTTTTTTTTTTTGGTTTTTGTTTTTTTCCCCTTGTTCGAGGGTATAAAGTTTCAGTTTTACAAGATGAAAAAGTTCTGGAGATTAGCTATACGAAAATATAAAAATACTTAAGATGCCATAACTACAAAAATTATTAAGATGCTATATTTTGTTATGTATTTTCCCATATAAATTTTTTAAAGAAACAGTCTGTTACTCACCTCATTGTGTTACTGATTTTTGACAGCAGTATCCCTTATGGTTTCAGTGCTCCACAGGAACGGGGCCCTCTTGGTGCTATTAAAAGATATCAAAGAGTTTTCTGTGATGTTTTGAGTGACCTTTAAACTAAAAGTTGTTATTCTATGTTCTCAAAATTACATTTGGGGAATAAGCAGACAGTGTTTCCCTGCTGGTTGATGCTGACAGTGGCTTTTGTATTTAGATCTCTAAAGGGTCCAGAAACAGAATAAACAGAGATCATCCCAACTATCCAACACTGGCACACTTGAAATCAGAGCAAACAGACCACAAAGTGCATCCAGGGGCCATGCACATAATTTGTATCTCTACTCAGTTCCTAGATTTACATGCATCTTCACCCTCAGCCACTACTGTAATTCCTTTTGTCCACTGGCAGTTCACAGGACATTAATCTGAAGCATCTAATAAACCACATGTCTAAAATAGGGTTGTGGATAAATGCAAGCCCAGATTACTGAGGCTGACAGATAGTGTCCTTCTCATCCATGCTGTATGCTATTGGAAACGACCTGGAGCAAGAGGAGTTTCCATCCTTTAATATTCTCTGCTTTCATTTCTCAGTCTTCAACCACATGGCTAAACGGCTGCATTTTTAGCCCCCCATCCTGCATGTAGTAAGCACAACTAATCACAAGCAACTAATTGATGTAAACAAATATTTAAAAGTTCACAGTAGGAACACATTAAGGAAAGAACATTTATTATTGTATATACCTATTTTATAGCCTTCCCTAGCCATTTGATCTTATAATACATGGAGGAATTAAGAATTATGACTGGAGACTTCCTAAATACCTCATCTGGTTGGAGACTTGCTAAATACTGACCACCAAAACAGCTGAGGAATTAAAAACATTTTTCTCCCTCTTTTCTTTTTCTTTTTTTTTTTTTAAAGAAAACAATAATTCTGGAGGTAAAAAACAAACAAACAAACAAACAAAAAGGGTTAGCGTACAGAGAAGGACTCACTGAGTGACAGTCTCTGTTCACTGTTTCCAATTAACCTTGTGCACAAACACCTTCACTACTATATAATCCTAAAGTACTGGACAGACTTATCTTTACCTCCACTTCATCTCTTTACATCAACTTGTCCTCTCCAGAAAACTGTTTCAGAAGAACTTTGCCTTATCTGCCTTTGTAGCCCCGATACCCAACACAGAGCCTGATACATACTAGATAGTCGCTAAATGATTAGTGAACCAAAGAGTCAAATTTTGACCTGACGATATACATACGGTAACATGTACAGGACAGATACGATGTTGAGATTAAAAGGAGAAGAGGGGCACAGTGGGGACAATTTCTACCCCTAGAACTTTTCCTGATTTAAATAGTGCCCTTCTGTGCTTTATACTGCAAACAAAATTCCCTTAATGCTGAATTGGCTATTATGCTGCCCAGGACTTAAGGATGGATGCAAAGCAACACTGCTACTTTTAGAAAGAAGACTATCCCCAAGAGGGCATCTACCTTGTCTCTTGGAGGGAGGGAGCTAAATCTAGGAGCCTCTGGAAACCGATAGAGCTGAAATTAAATTTCCTTAATGTATTTCAAAACTATCCAATAACGGGTAATGTGGGCTTCTCCCTAAGCCAGATAAGCAATTTCAGATTTATAGCAGTGCAAGCCAGAATACAGAATGTATTTCCAATGGCAGAATAAAAAAAAAAAAAAAAAAAAAAAAAACTTATAGGCTCAAATTGCTGCAGACCTTGATGTGAAGGCCGGAAATCAGTTGCTGAAATTTGATTATTTCTAGGTACCATTCCCACTATCATACTGAAATAACTGTCTTGAAAGAAAAAGAAAAATCAATTGCAATGGAAATATTTAGCCTTAAACTATCTAGACTGCTTCAGGTTAGGACTTCCCCAGCAATGCAGTAGGGTAAGATTCAAAGACTACTCTAAACATGAAAGTATCCTTTAAAAAGTAAATGCTATTAATTGAAAATAGTCTCTTAAATTAAATAATCAAATATAACCCAAGAAAAGCAAAGACAAAGGAAAAAATATTTTTCCCGGAACTCAATATATAGAATCAAGCCATTTTTACCAGCAGATTTTAAAGATGAACAATTTTTTTTTTTTAAATTACAAGGTATAAGTTTCAAAAACCAAGTTACAGAATAAACCCCTCCTACACACAAAGTTCCAAGAACGAGGACAAAACAGGCATAGATCCCAAATGGAAGAATAAAATCGACGAAAGAGCATTTTAAAGTCGCCTTACCTCCAGTGCAGAGGATTGCAGTGGGGCCAGCAGGCTTATTTGCAGTTTGGTATCATAAAACGGAAGGGGAGTCTCCTTGGCTTGTCTTTTCCCCGCCCCCTTTCTTAAACCAGGCTTCCAACCTCTTGGCTGGTGCAATTGATAACCTAGGAAATGAACTGCCCACAAAGTGAGTAACCGGAACAGGGGACAGTCCCCGAGTGGCCACCCCTCCTTCCCTTTAGGTGATGCTCCACTTCCTGTGAGGCAAAAAAAGCATTCCCAAGAAGCTCGGTTTTGTAGTTTCAAAGCCACCCCCCAAAGCCAGACCCTCTTTCTCGGTTTCCTCTCCTAGGTAACAACTTTTAATCATTCACGTGACGGGCCAGCTGACCTTGTCTAAACAATTCCCCAGAAAGATGCTGGAGTGTCCCTCTACCCAGCCCAGGCCTGCAAGGCTTATCCCCAGAGTCCCTCATCCAGCCAGCTTGTGACTGAACTTGCTAAAATGCACCATAGTGACAGCTACTGTCCTTGGTGGTGGGGGGGGCGGGGGGTGGGGGAAGCGTGCTAAAGGGACGTGCGTGTTTGCGTTTGTCTTCAGGGTTGCAACCAATCGAAGGAGGGAGAAATAGCATGACGCCATAAGCCTCCACGGCCCGCTCTCTAAAATAATTCCTTTAAATACCTTAAAGTGTTTCTTTTGTAAGGCACCCAACAATCGCGTCCCGCGTGGCAGTTTCCGCGGGTGGCGTGCACTCCCTCAGCGTTGACCTCGCGAAGCCATGGTCGTGCATCCTGCGCACGTGGCTGCCTGGGTCCCTCAGTGTAGTATGTGCTGCCTAAAGCACAGCGGGGACTTGAGGTCCTTAGGGGGTTAACGCAGAAGGGGCAGGCGTGGGCTGCACTGCACCCGGGAACGTCGGTGGTGGGCGATCGGGGTGGCGGACAGCAGGCCTCTAAACACAGGAATCCAAGTCTGCAGAGTCAGCTGGGGATCTCCTCCGTGGGTTCAGGAGACGGGACCCCCAGCTAAGCTAGAGATGCCCGGCGCCCAGCGGCCTCGGCTGTCTGCATCCCTCCGCAGCGCCGCCTCCTCCCTCCGTAAGCCCCGCCCCCGCCCGCGCACCCACCCCGCCCCCCGGCTTTCCCGTCCCAGGACGCGTTGCGCGGCCCGGGCCGGAAGTCCTCGAGTTCCCGGGTGTGTGTCTGTGTCTGTGTCTCGCGGCGGTACGCCGCCGCGGTCAAGCTCCTAGGGGGTCGGCGTCTGGAGCGTCACCTCTGTCACTGCCGCCACCACACCGAGTCACTTCTAGAGGGACCGAGGCCCGGCCCTTCGCCGGGTGGAGAAGATGTTGCCCCTGTCCATCAAGGATGATGAATACAAACCACCCAAATTCAATCTGTTTGGCAAGATCTCAGGCTGGTTTAGGTGCGGGGTGCTGTGTCTGCGGGGAGGGGGCTGCCCGGCAGGACACAAAGCCGGGAGCGAAGGGTGGTCTGAGGTCCAGGGTGGGAGCGTCACCCTCCCGCGGTGGTGGAAGGAGCATGTGGACTGGGTGGGTCTTGAAAGGGGGTGGGGGGACTCGATGTTAGGGTCCCGGCACCCCCTTGGCTCCTGCCTGCTTCTAATAACCCCGTGTCGTGCTCAGGTCCATCCTGTCGGACAAGACATCTCGGAACCTGTTTTTCTTCCTGTGCCTGAACCTCTCTTTCGCTTTTGTGGAACTACTCTACGGCATCTGGAGCAACTGGTAACCAAAGGGGAAGATGATTGGGGCGGAAGCAGAGGGTGAGGGAAAGTAGCCACTATTTGCTTAGTGCCACGTAGCTCCTTACCGGTTCAGGTCTTACCTTTGCCACTACTACTTCTGCTGGGTTGCTTTCTCTTAACCTTCAGCAACGCGGAAGGGAAGGGATGCTTTTCTAAGATCAGGGCCCTTAAAGTACAGCCTCTTTGATTTCCTGCGACTCCATCAGACAGCACTGACAGGCCCCCTCTTCCTCGCCCCCCTACCACCCCCCCACCCCCAGTTAAACTTAATCTCTTCTCTAACTTCTTGTCTTCGCTTTACCTCAGGAAAACTGGGAGGATCATGTTAGCTAACCTCGCGGTGGGTGTGGTGTATTTTGGATTTTACCCTTAAGATTCTGAGAGGGGAGGTCTGAGCTACCCTGTTGAAATTATGATTATCTTTGAGTGGCTTTTGAAGAGGTTTGTGAGGAGATCTGCGGCAAAGCATATGTCCTTCTCTTTTATAATGAAACTGTTTCATTATATTGCCTCTTATCTTCACTGCAGTAGAAGATTCCCATACAGTTTTCTGAAAGTGCCTCTTGATTTGATGGCTTTTGGTGTCGTCTTTGGGTTTTTTGCTTGTTTCTATTTTCTATGTGATTTGGGTAGAGGAGAGTTCAGTGTGACTAAGGAAATAAAGTCTCTAGCATTTAAGTATTCCTGTGGAATAACTCCTGGGCTTGTGAAATTGCTCTGCAAATAACACTATCAACACACTTCTCAAGTGTGCTAACTCTATCTATAGGTATTATCCCCTTTAAGAATCTGCTGGGGGGGGGGGGCTGGAGTTTAGAGTGCTTGCTATGGTTTCAGAGGCTCAGAGTTTAGTTTTCTGGAGGCTCACAATGACTATATAACTCCAGCTTCAAGGGATCTGACACCCTCTTCTGAACCCCCACAGAGACACACACACAGAGACACACACATGTGGCAGACACACATGTAAACATTTTAAAAACTGTTAAAGAAAAAGATATAAATCTTCCAGAATCTTCGAGGGTGAGTTATATAGGGTCTTAGATTAGCCTGTGCCATTCATGGTTTGCTTTTTGTTGATTCTATTAAACTAACTTTTAAAATCCATTTCAGACAGGGAAAAAAAAATGATAGTCTTTGAGCTCTAGCTCTGTTGAGGTTGAATAAAAGTAGTAATCTTTCACCTCCTTGTGGTATGTCTTAATGGTATAGTTCTTGCCTACTATGTGTTAGGCCCAGGATTCAGTCCCCAGGACTGTCAAATGCACACACATACACACACTCAGGACGATCTCTGGGAGTTTGTTTACATGGTTCCAGGACAGCCAAAATTAAGAGACCCTGTCTCAGAAAATGAAAAGCAGAAACAAAACAAAACCTTCAGTGAGTAGTAGATTACAAAGATTATTGATTTTGTTATTGTTTGGGGTACAAAAGTCAAATTGACATTATTAAATCTTGATATATTTAGTAGCCATTTTGATTCCCCTGTATCTGTATATTTTGAGTGTACTCCATAACAGATATTTTTAATCTCCTAAAGTTTGTACCCTTCAATATATTGTATACGCGGAAAGCACTATAGTCTTAACTTGTATGTGAATTTAACACTTTAATCATTAATATATACTATTTTTAATATATATTTTCCTCTTTCTGAACTATGTAATAATTTTGGCACATGTGCTGCTTATTCTGTGACTACATTGTAGCTTGTATCACACATTTTACTAATTACTCTAGTAATCACACACACACACACACACACACACACACACACACACACACACAGAGCAAGACAGCTGTAAGCCTATGATCCCAGTATACTGAAGGTGGAGGCAGGAAGATCAGAAGTTAAATACCATCTTCAGCTACATACTGTGTTTCATTATGACCTTTCATTGGCATAAATCACTTCATGGATTCATATCTTAAGTGTCCGAGCCACTTATTTCATGGGAAGTTGGGTGTATGATACCTTTTTGATCATAGAGTTGAGTTGAAGTACGAAAACCATTATTGCCCAAACTGTTAGTATACATCATTGCATAAGGAAAATACTGGCAGTATGTGACTTTTTAATATGTCCTTAGGTGTTTTGCTCTTCTGCTTTTGGGTGACTTTCTGCTGTCCTCCAATGACTTGTTCTTCTGTACCCTAATTGTTTATTCTCTCATTTTGTTGCTAAATCCTTCAGACTTGACATGCAGCTTTATTGCCTGTCTTGCTGCAGTCGTTTATCTTATACCTAGGTATATCAAGTTATTCCCCAATTTTGATTTGTTTCAGTGGATATGAAACATAAATCATTTGGTGCTAGAGAGGATTTAGAAATTTGTTGAGACTTGTGGTATGGCCTAGTGATATAGTTCTTGCCTACCATATAGTAGGCCCTGGATTCAATCCCCAGTACTGCCAGATACACACACACACACACACACACACACACACACACACACACAGAGCAAGACAGCTATAAGCCTATGATCCCAGTATATTGAAGGTGGAGCCAGGAAGATCAGAAGTTAAATATAATCTTCAGCTACATACTGATTTCCTAAGAGCTAGAGCCCACTTCCAAAAGGAAAAGAAAAAAAGAGAGAGGATTTTGTTTTTAACTTAGATCTTTTCATAATGAGGCTTCCTATGTTATTTGGACACCAAAGTTTTCAGTTTTTTTGTTTTTTTTTTTTTTTGGAGTGGACATATTTTATGAGATTGGATTGTCTCTGTGCCTATTTCTTACCTAGACCTACTGTGTCTTGGTCATTTTTATCTTTGACTTTATTCTTTAAAAATAAGTTTCAGGGGCCCTATGTGGCTCAGAGGTTAAGAGCATTGACTTTCTTCCAGAGGTTCTGAGTTCAATTACCAGCAATCACATTGTGGCTCACAACCATCTATAATGAAATCTGGCATGCAGGCAAACATACAGACAGAACACTGTATACATAATAAATAAATCTTTTAAAAAATACATATTTCAGGTTGTTGAACCTGAAAAATCAAAAAGTTGTTTTTCCCAATGTAGGGAATTAAACCATAAATGAAACACTCCCCTCACAAAAAATGCAAAGAAATATTTAATAGAGTTGAAACAAATATTAAGTTGTTCTGATTTCATTTCCAGTGCCTCCGTTTTGAAGGAAGAGTTTAGCTTTAATTAGGCTGTGTGTCTTTTGGTGAGGAGGAAGAAGAACTCGGTTCTGCCCACTTCCCCCCACTGCTATCCACTCTTTACCTTGTAACTAATGGTCACTTTACTTAAAGCTCAGTATATGTGTCATGTGTTCTGGTGCCATAGTCAGGCATATTGGCACTTAGTACAGTGTAGGGGCTTATTTTGTGTTTGCTGAAGGAAAGAATGAATGGTTGTATGTGTGGATGTATCTGTCTATATTGATAACTGTTCTGTCAGGGGAAACACAAATAAACACTGGAAAGAAAAAGTTAACCTCCTTTGGTTCTTAGAAGTTGGGAGGAAAGTGTAGGGCTACTATCTATGTATCTGTGTTTTTTGTTTCCTTTGAGAATGCTTTCTTTCTGGTATTTTCTTTTCCTCCCCCCCCCCCTTCCTATTATTGAATATAGCTTTTTTTTCTTGTATAATGTATCCTGATTATGGTTTCCCTCTCTCTGCTTTTCTCAATTCCTCCTTACTTCTCCCATCCAGATCCACACCCTTTATGTCTCTCATTGGAAAACAAGTGGGCTTCTAAGGGGTAAACTGAAATAAAAGATAAGATAAAACAAAACCTAATACATTGGTATTGAACAAACCAAACCCACAGAAGGAAACAGGCTCGAGAGATGACACAAGAACCAGATACCCACTCATTCATTCACACAGGAATCCCATAAAAATGCTAAACTGGAAGCTGTAATACATACACAGAGGACCTGATACAGGCCCTGTTAATTTTCATTCATTTATTGTTGAGTAACTACATAGTGAAAGAATGTAGTTTTGTATCATCAAGGATAGTTTTTTCAAGTTACAGAAAAAAGCAAAGCCAATAATTGTTTAGACAGACAGTACCTTCTTCCACAGTCCCTTGACGAAGTTCCAGAGAGAACAAGGCAAAAAAAGAACAGAGACTTCTAAGACTTAATCTGGATGCTAACACATAATGCTTTTCCTCATACTTTTATCACATGGTCATGCCTAGAAGCAATGTGATGTATTCCACAAAATCATGTAGATTGATACGAGCCACAAGAGCATATGTACTGGAGAAACAGACCAACCCACAACATAGAAAGTCAAAGTGCAGTGTTTTTGTTTTCTTCTTTCAAAGTTCCAGCAAGGCTTCAGCACCTTTTATCTGACTTTTATGCTGATTCCTGCCCCCATATATTCTAGTATACCACTGTGTTTGGCTTTATGCATTTTCATGCTGTTCTGTTATGCGTTTACTTCATCGGTTTAAAAACTTAATTTCAATTGTATCATACACTGAAAGTGTTGAAAATAGTTTCACTGAGACCAGCGGTTCTCAACCTGTGGGTCACAACCCCTTTTTCAAAGCTCTTATTTCCAAAAATATTTGCATTAGATAGATTCATAACAGTAGTAAAATTACAGTAACAAAGTAATGACAAAATAGTTTCATGTTTTTTTTGGGGGGGGTCATCCCAAATGAGGAACTGTGTTAAAGGGTCACAGCATTAGGAATGTTGAGAACCACTTGCTTTAGACACTGAAAAAGCTTATGAAACAGACCGAAAGTTGATGTTTCTGTTTTCATAAACATTTGTTCTAGAAATGCTAATGGCTATATTGGAGGTTTTTATGTAATGGATATAGAAGATGTTTATTAATTGGTTTATTAATGAAAGTGCCCTCATCGTTAATCACGTATTTTTCTATTATAAATTAAAATTAAATGTTATCAAGCTGGGAAACTTGTATGACAACTCTTCAGCTGTGATGGAAGCCTTTGCCTTCTCACCTTAAAAACTTACATGAGTATTTCATTT